CCTGAAGTCGCCCCACCGGTGTGCGTCAAAGACAGTTTCCGCACTGAACCCAAAGCGACAATACCGCAGCATACTTACTGGGCTTCAGTTGTTGCTGCTGTTGTTGCTATTGCTACTACTCTGCCCACCTGCTGCTGCTACTATTATATATTGTTATTGTTAGTGAGTCATTATGTAGTGTATTTGTCTTCTTTAATCTGCCTCAATCTTTCCAACATCGTTGCCCTTCTTCCGATAACCTGTATGACTAGTAATGCAGGAACCTGAGTAAGAAACCCTGGGCCTCTAACCCCAAAATTGTAGGATGCATATATGGAACCCCAATAATGGCCCAAGGTTTCTTAATCAGGTTCCTACATTACCGCCGAGGATTCCAACGTTTGTTTAGCAGCTTTGCCTAGGAATGCTGTCGTCAACCTCAAAGCCCGTCGACCTCCTTCGCACCGGTACACACTGGACCTAGCTCCTGCTTGGGGTCGTCTTAAAAATCTAGATTATTATTCCTTACCCTAAGGACTCCAAGAATAAAATAGTACCTACTAGCTACTTTGAGGCCTAAAGTCTGAAAATAGTAACTACTTTGGGTTCTTCGGAGTCTTATGGTTATTGGGTTTAAATGCCCATAAACATGTAAAATGTTACGACGGGACGTAGCCCTAAAAAAATGAGGGAACCCAACACAGACCCAAAGGAGCAGGGTAGTAGGATCCTTAATAGGGCCTCTCCAGAACCCTCCTTGTGGCCTCAAATAGAGGCATATGGTCACAAATACTGGGCATTTAGGGTTTAATAAAGGGTAGATGGAGGGTCTAGGCTTAGTGTCTGAAAATGCCGATATATAAAAATCGCGTAGGTTTGAAACCCTGTGATGTGACCCTATGAAAAACGGTTATTAACATCCCATGCTCCCTAAACCCTCAACCCTACAAGGAACCCTAAACCCTCAACCCCCAGATCCTAAACCCTGACAAATGTGCCTTCCTCTCCTCTTCCAGGGCGGCCGCAAGGGGCTGCCAGCGCGGAGGGGAGGCACCTCCAACGCCGGGCATGGAGGCTTTAGCGTTTGAGTTTAGCGCTTAGGCGGCAAGGGTTCAGGGCAGCGTTCAGGTTTAGGAAGCCCTAAATCCTAAACCCTTTAGTTTTCAGGGTGCGGGCTTGAGGGTGTAGGAGTGCAGGGTTTAGGGCAGTGTAGTGTCTCAAGGGATGGGGGGACTTAGTCTAGTAAACAGGACTTTGCAGGGCATTTGCCTGGTTGTCATCGGGTGTTACAGTTTGGCATTTTGGGGGCTGGGTGTTTGGCGGCTTGCGTTGCTGTTTTTGTTTGTTCTGGGGTCGGGTTTTAGGGCTTTGCATCTATGTGATTCGGGTTTTGGTGTTCAGAGTTGTCAGGCTTTGGGTTTTCGGTTTGGGTTTCTGGTGCCTAGGCTTAAAACTGTGGGTTGTGTGGCTTTATGTATGGGCGTTGGACTTTTTGGAGATGAATGTTAATGTTTAGGGTTTAGGGTTTAGGGGTTTAGGGTTCAGGGTTTGGGGTTCATGTTGATTTAAGGTCGTGGTCTTCCACTCTTCGAGTTAAGGGCTTGCTGCTTCGGGCTTGGGGTCTAGAGAATCTCAGGGGGGGTAGGGGGAGGGGGGAGGGGGGGTAGGGGGCCTTACTGCCCACAAAAAAGGACGAAGAAGGCATAGAAAAATTAAGGAAATATAGTCCCCTACCCCCTCCCCCTCACCCCGCTAATGGGTCCCTAGAGCTAAGAAATCCTTTGAGGATCTCAAGGTTCTACTCCGTTCCTCGTGTCTCTTGTGCTTGTGATGTCCGCTGTTGCTTGCCTTTGGGGTTTCTGTGGCTCAGGAGCAGTGCACGTTTGGCCATCTAAGGCCTCAATTACATCTCAACCCCGAACACACTAAAGCGTCTCTAGTTCTGCTTACGGCTCAAGATACCCGGCCCCTACTCGCATGTAATCTGTTGACAGCTGTGTCCAGAACCGCGACTCTGAAAACAACCCCAAAACCCTAAATAGTAGGATCCTTCTTGCAAGGGCCCCAAAATAATGATACCCCTAATTTGCGGAAACTCCCATCCAAGGCTCTATGGTTTACGGTGACTCAGGAACCATGAAAATCAACTTCAGGCCCAGGCCTACTGGAGACCAGGCGCGGTTGGAGTAGCCTGTGGCCGGAGGAGCGACGTTGAGAAATCAGAAACTCGCAATGAAAAACACCCCTAACCCCGCAACCTAGGCCAGGATAGAAATCCCTAAACTGCAATGAGCCTTGCGCCCGGGGCCCTCAAGGATCAGAAACGGTTCGTCAAGAGAAGGTTTTGTATGCAGGCTCCTCAAGCAAAACTCCACAAGAAACCTCAAAAACCCCAATCCGTAAGCCCACAACCCTAAACGCCACCGCGCAAAATCTCCTCACTGGCAACTCACCCGTCTAAAGCCCTATAAAGACCATAGACCCTCAATGCCAAAATCCCGAAACCCAAAACCCTAAGACCTAAACTCTAACTCCCGCATCGTTAATGGACCTCAGCAACAGCAGGGATGAAATCACCGACTCGAGGCGCACCAAAGCTCTCACTCAGAGGAGTAACTTTCCGCAGCGATCGGGAAGAATGCCGAAAAGAAGAGACACTAGCCATGATGGGACATCCTTTAGATTCGATGTCGTCCCAATCCCGGCTGCTCGAAGGACCAGGATGTGATGTCGAAGGTGCCGGGGAAGAGCGAACTCGCGACGGCACGCCCACTTGAACTTCCAAGTACAGAGCGTGTTGGAACGCCCAAGTAAGACTCTCCTCTCCATTTCGCCCAAACGGATCATGTTCTCGAGCTGAACGAGCATCGTGGTGCCTCGCCGTGGAGCATGTCGCTGAGAAGGTCGCGGGGCTGGCGTGATGCCGCGTGGTATCTAGCGTGGCGAGGTAGCAGGAGTAGGAGCATCTCCAGAAAGTGTTGCCGGAGAGGGAGCCAAAGCCACCGGAGCAGCAACGGACCTAAGCCTTGCACCCTAACCTTAAGACGAGCCGCCAACCGTCAACCCTGATTCCACAGCTACCCACCGACACCTCTTAGCCCAACAAACCCAAACCCTAAACACTTGCATAGACCCTTCAGTATGCCCTTCCAAACCCCATTTTAAATACCCCTATTCTAATCGTTAAAAGCCCGTATACGATAAACCCGAGCTAATGTGGGCCTTTCAGTAACCAGGCAGAAAAAAGTATAAACTGCTATTTCGTAATGGTTCCTTCAAGATTTTTTAAGTGCGATACTCCAAAGCCCAGTATATAACGAGTTTCTTTCTCTGCGTGAAACCCTAAAGCCTAAACCCTATAAGCTCTGAAACCTATAATCCCTAAACCCTGAAACCCAACCCCCACAAACCCTGAAACCTATAATCCCTAAACCCTGAAACCAAAACCCTATAAACCCTGAAACCTGTAAACCCCTAAACCCTAAACCCCCAAACCCTAAACCCCCAAACCCCCCCAAACCCTAAACCCCCAAACCCCCAAACCCTGTAACCTGCACCTCGTTTTCGGCCGACGGCTGTGGGCGTAGTCGCACGACCCGAGCCCGGGCCCAGCGAGGGAGGCACTGGCAGCGGAGTGGTTGGGCTTAGGGTTTGTTCTGGCTCAGGGCTTACCTTAACCCTGAACAACCTACCTTTTTACGGCTCCTTATCATGAGTTCCTTAAATAAGTCCCTTAAAATGTAGGTTCTTCCGGGTTAAGGTAGGGCTTAAGGTTTTGGGACGATTATGGTGTATGGGCTGAAGGCCTTTTTTGGCTTGAGGGTTTAGGGCTGAGGCTTCGGGTTTAGGACATAAGGGTTCGGCTTGGGGTTTAGACTTTTTGGTTGTAAAGATTGAGGCTTGCTGCCTCCGGCACAATCGTACAATAATCATACCTGGAAAATGCAAGGAACGAGTGTCCGCATGACTTAGGCTCGAATGTTAAGCCTTGGACGATTGGTGTCGGGCTGCGTACAATCGGAATAAAAGGAAATTAGACTCCCAGTATACCTTTGCTGTACTCGAGTCTAACGATTCGGGCTTCGTTGTAGACTGTAGAGAGGTTGGAGGTGACAGAGCCACCACGGACTTCGAAACAACACCTCTGATATCGGACTCGGCAACTAGAATAGGCGGCTTCGACTCTAGTATGGTACCTCTCACTAGTAGCCCGTCACACAGAGTTCAAGACCTGTTAAAAATACAAATCTTTTTACCATAGAGACCGCGAAGGAAAAGCTGTGTTCGAAGAGACTCCGAAACAACTACCATGCACCCCTTATTCAAGCGGTTTTGTGGTCTTGAGGAACTTCTCTGCCGCCTGGTGCATCAGCACTTCCTCGGAGAGCGGACACCCAGTCACGTGGCTTGAAGTCCTCCCCTGCATGGGTTTAGGGCTTGTGGTTAGGGCTTAGGGTTGATGGTTTAGGGTGACTGCATTCAATGAGTTTGAACCCCGGCGCTTTATGAGTTTTAGGCTTTCTAGTTCGGGGGAAGCCCATACGGCCTTTAGCATAGCTAGGTTTCTCTGAGACTCCAAGTATACAAATAGTACCTACTTTGGTAACTGCTTTGGGCTCTTCGGAGTCTTAGGGTTTTGGAGAAGACTAAATCCCAAACGAAACCCACAAATCCGAGGACCCTAACCAGACCCGGATCCGACTCCCAACCAGGATGCCTTCACAAATACTGCATCATGTCGTGCTGAACTCGACGTTTAGGAGTTGAGTGCAACAAAGGTGGAGTTCAAAGGTGTTTGGGGATGTTGGATTCAGGTGTCAAAATCTTCAAAGCTTGCAATTTAGGGGTCGGACTTGGTCTTGCAACACCGTCGGGCTGTGAAATCTCATGGTAGAACTGTTTTCGTTTGAGAGCTGAAAGCTACTGATCAAGAACCTCTAAACAAGCTCGTGAAGGATCGTAGGTACGAAAACCAATTCAGAGTATCTCGTCTTCGGGCCTGATGCCCTGCTATTTGGGCTCTAAAACCCTAAATACCCAAACACTTGATTCAGATAAAAGAAAAACTTGAACAAACAAAAACGTTTGCTGCTGTCCTCGAAAGTGACAACGAGAATGACACCTTCCGTGACTTCCAGCCTGGCACGCTTCATCTTGCGGAGCTCATCCAGGGCTATGGTCATCAGCTTTGCCTTGGGCTTCCTGGCCTTCGGTTCTTTCGGCTGTGCGGCCACCACTGGCCCCCATGTGTTGGCCCTTTCGGATGCCTGTTTGAGGCACTCCAGGATTGCTGGTGTTTTCAATCCTTTCCACGCGTTGCCGGAAGGCACCATGAGCTGCCCGTCGGTCTTTCGCACACGCAAAGCCTGTCCGGTTCAGTCAGTATAGATTGGGCCAGGTTAATAGGATTTTATGCAATGACAAAGAGTGCTCCTGGCACAGCCCCTCTAAACCCTAAACTCGCGAACCCTCAGCCGTCCTAGAACCTCCCTCCATAGTACCGGAAACCCAGAGACTTAGGACTTCTTTCAACAGACGTGGCAAGGCCTGCAAAGGGGGGCGGCGGAGAGGAGCCGCGAACGGCCCTCCGCGCCTGTGCTTTTGAAGGGCTTTTTGGTGAATGGGTTGTGCCATGGAGGGCTGCGGGGATTACCCAGCGACTGCAAAACCATGCTGCTATACTATCTTTGTAAGGGCTATGACTTCTGCTATTCTGACGATAATTCTGAGTCCTTGTTGCTGGTGATCTCCACTGCATCGCACGGCTTCCAAAAACCCTAACCCAGCTTGCTAACATAGGCACATGTTTCAAACCCCCCTTCCGCAACAAGGATGTTCCAGTGATGTTGATGCTGCCGTCCCAAATGCGAAAACCCTGAACCCTCGGCGCAAAACCCTCAGGCTATCGCCATCGAACGCCAATAGGAAAAGGTCTACAATATCTGCAAAGTCTACATTCGCGTCGTAAGACCTTATAAGCAAAAACAAAGCAAATCCCGCCTTAAACCTTAAAAAACAACCCTAGAGTCTGTGAGTCTTCAAAAAGGTATACCACGGTTGATGATACAAATCCAGCATGACCCATACTTATGCCATAATTAATTCCCATAGACAAGCACTGCAACAAAAACCTCTCAAAAAGCCCTAAACCCTAAACCCTAAACCTCTCAGAAAGCCCTAAACCCTAAACCCTAAACCTCTCAGAAAGCCCTAAACCCTAAACCCTAAACCTCTCAGAAAGCCCTAAACCCTAAACCCTAAACCTCTCAGAAAGCCCTAAACCCTAAACCCTAAACCTCTCAGAAAGCCCGATGGAGCACCTCGTCCTCATCCCCGCGTGCCGGAGCGAGCCTCGCCCAGTTTGCCTACTTATAAACTACTTACTAAGTCCCCTGCCCCTCCAAGTAGGGTTGCAGAGGTTAGGGTTGGGGGTTAATTAAGGGCTGTAGGGGTTTAGGGTTGTAGGCTTGAGGGGTTCCGGGGGGATTCATAGTTCGGGTAGGGTTCAGGGTTCGGAGTGGAAGGTTTCAACTCAGGGCTTCTACGTGTCGGGTACTTGAAGGATCATGGGACTTAGTAGCTGGGGTTATAAATAAGGCAACTATACTTATAAGCAATTAAAGGCCCACTTAAGGTACTTATAACCTGACTTACTAAGTCCCATGATCCCCTTTATAGAACCCCTATAGATCCCTTTCTGGAACCCTATGATAGAACCCTGTAGTACCCTTATTAAAAGAACCCCTAAACCTGACTTACTAAGTCGGATGATCCTCCAAGTGGGGGTTTCCGAAAATAGGGGACCCTAGTAGAGTACCCTAAATAATAGGATCCTGATGATAAGGACCCCAAAATAAGGTACCCCCTAATTTTCGGAAAGTGTAAACCCTAAACCCTTTATAGGACCCTTATAGATCCCTTTAAAGGAACCCTTAAAGGATCCCTTGAAAGGTACCCCTCATTTTTCGGAAACTCCCAAGTAGAGTATAGGGATTATGCTCTCAAGCCGAGGGCCTTCAACAGAAGGGAAGGAAAGGGTTGACCCAGGGTTTAGGGTTTAGGGTTTAGGGTTGACCCTAAGGGTGAACCCAAATATTACGGTTGATGATATAAATCCTGGGGTTCCTTTAAAGGGATCTAAAAAGCACCTTTAAGGGGCTCCTTTACGGGATCTATAGGATTTTAGGGTTTAGGGTTTAGGGATATGAATCCTGCATTACCCATAAAAAGGAATTTATACCATAGTTCCCATAGTTTGGAGTCCTTAGGGTCATGCAGGATTTTGTCCATCAGCAGTAGCATGTACTTTGGCCCCAAAGTAGCTATATAGGGACTACTTTACGGCCAAAGTATATGCTATTGGGGTACATGGGCCCTTATACCCCAAATTTTATAGTACTCTTATAGAACCCTTCTGGTATCCTTTCTAGGAACCCCTTATGGATCCCTTTAAAGGAACCCCCATGGACCCTTATAGGGTGAGGAAATAGCGAGGGGGTCCTCCGGTACAGCTTCCCGGGGCAGGGCCGAATCGTGCCGTTCGTAATGATCTAATCTAGGGGGCCTTAATCCTTAATGTTAGAATTCCTTTTAAATGGGACCACTTCAAGGGATCTATAGTAGGGTTCTATGATATAGGGACCTTAATAATTGCAGTAGGGTTCCGTTTTAAGAGAATCCTGTTAAGGGTTACAAGAAGGGCTCTATAGAAGGGTATAATACAATAAGAGCCTTGATATTTGTAATGGGGTTTTGGGGCCCATTATACTATATAAGGAACCTCCGAAATAGTATAGGTAGTTTGTTCAGGCCCCTGCATTAGTGCCTTCCGTGAGCTTCAGGAGTATAGAGGAACTTATGGTGTAGATGCGGTAGGGGTGTCGCGGCAGGGGCCCTAACAAATTGAAGAACCTGGGTTTAGGGCTTCAGAAAAAGCCCGACTGAAAACCCGAGATAACGGCTTCGGGTGGCCATCGTCAAGGGCCGAAAACCCCGGTGCAAACGGCGAACCCTTCCCTTCCTCCGCAAGATGCAGGTGTCCGAAGAGTGAAGCCCCTCCCCAAACAGGAGGGGCTTCGGGTCTCCGGTGTCTGCACAGAAAGCCCTCTCTCCTGTTTCAGACATGTAGGATAGGACAATACTTGCAAAACGGCGTGGACAGATGAGCCTCTATGAGCGAGAGAGATGGGAGTTTCCAAAAATAGGGGCACCTTGTTTTGGGATCCGTATAGTAGGGATCCCACTATTTAAGTTACTTTTTAAGGGTCCCCTGTTTTTCGAAAACTCCCAGATAGACTAGACAAATCCTCTAAAGAGAAAAGGGGCTTTCTGGGTTTGCAGCTTCTCCGAGTGAGTGAAGTACCTCGAATTCGGCTCCAAGATCTTTGCTATTCGGAGCGTCCCTAAACAGTTGGTCCAAACTTGAGAATCTCCCCTCCACAGCATTTCTTAGGGCCCCCAAAAAACATATAAGCAAAAATAAAGATAGGGATATCCCACATACACCCCCTTATAATGAAGCCGATTAAGGTAGGGATATCCCTAGTGTCCTTTGGGGTCCCTAATTTCTAGATCTGCGGAATCAGCCGCAGCAAGATGGACCGTAGTCTCGGGCCAGCGGCCTTGCCTACCTGGACGACTTCACTGTGTTCCACCTTCTCCTCAGACCTGTGCTGACGGAGGGCATTGCGATTCAGCTTCGGTGTTTCGGGGGGACCCAGCGACTCCAATGTCCCTTAATTAAGGAATATACCTTAGATTTTAGTAGGGTCCTCAATATTATGATTAAAGGTATATTCCCTAATTAAGGAATATTGGAGTCTCTGGGATTCAAGTTCGGTGTTTGGGGGGAGTGCTAGGGTGCCTTACCTTAAACCATAAACTCCAACTCCAGCTACACACTTTATGCAGATATTGCTACCGGATGGCTTGGGCAATCTTGGGATCGGGCATACGACATGGTATGCACATGGAGTCTCCATTGTACTTCCTGTTAGTTCAACTATATAACCTATCATTTATTTAGTGTCCTATAACGTAAACCCCAAAAGGACAAGTTCGGCACTGAAGCCTGCAGCGCCAGACCATCAAGCCGACAGCCGCACCCTAAGCCCTGCAATCTCCACTGGTTCTCTCTGCTTCCCAGAGACTCCAATATTCCTTATAATTAGGGAATATACGTTAAATCATATTAAGGATCCTACTATAGTTTCAGGTCCAGTCCTTAGTTAAGGGATATTGGAATCTCCGGGTTCCCAACCACCGTAGCAACACTTCGAAGCTGCCGGGCAGTGCGGTTTAGGTTCGGTGTTTGGGGGGAGTTCTAGGGTGATTTGCACTAAAAACTGAACCCCAACCCTAGCTACGCACTTCATAAATACACAAACCCAAAACCGGTTAAACCCTAATCAATCCTATATGCACCCGATGAACCAACCCTGAACCTTGAACCCCTGCAGTAAACCCCTGAACCCTAAACCGTAAACCCCTAAACCCCCGAACCGTCTCTAAAGCGGCCCTTGGGATTCCCCAAGACTCCAATCTCCCTTCAGGAATTAAAGAACTATACCTTAAAATATAGTAGGATCCTTAATATGTTTTAAGGACACCCCTTAACTACGGGATATTGGAGTCCCCTAAACCCTAAACTCTATAGATCCGTTATTATAGACCCCTTAAAGGAACCCTACGTAACCCTAGGCATTCCTTGCTTAAGGGATATTGGAGTCTCTGGGTTCGGGCCCCGCATGGCGACCTTTTTGGGGGTCCCAGGGACAGGTCCTCATCCACCGTCGCGTTGGTGATGACCTGGGCACAGAGACTCCTAAATTAGGGAATATACCCAGAGATCCCAATACCCCTTAATTAAGGAATACTCCTTGAATCAAAATATTAAGGCCTCTATCATTTAAGATATATTCCTTAATTAAGGGGTAATGGGTTCTCTGGGTACCCTAAATCACATTCAGGATCCTACTATAAAGTAAGGCATATTCCTGAATGAATGGATATTGGAGTCTCTGGGGGCTTCGAAAGAACATTCATGTCGGGTTTAGGGTCTAGGACTCAGGGCTTAGGGCTCAGGATTTAGAGTTTCGGATTTAGCGTTTAAGCTTAGGGTTTAGGATTTAGAGTTCAGGATTAAGGCTTAAGCTTTGGGGTAGGGGTTAGGGTGTACGGGTTAGGGTTATAGGGTTAGGCCTCTTATTTACCTTGCACAATCCTATACAATTGTTTAAACCAAAACAAACCTACGATGGAGACGCTAAGTAAGCTTTGCAGTTTAGGGTCTAGGGTCAGCATCTAGTTGGGTCCACGGTCTACGGTTTTGGGTTTAGGGTCGAGGGTCAGGGTTGATCTAGGTCTAGAGTCTAGAGTTTATGGTTCCGCAGCGTTTCGGGTCTGGGGCTGGGGTTTAAGGGTCGAGGGTGGGGGGTGTAGGGTTTTAGATTCAGGGTTGAGGTTTAGGGTTTAGGGTTTTAGATTCAGGGTTGCGGGTTTTGGTTTGGGGAACCGTGGAGACAACAGTCAAGCAAGATCCACAAGAAACGGAGTACTAGTGGTAACCAGGAGCTCCGTAAGAAGAATCAACAACCGCCCATGAATCAAGCTCTGCACAACAACAGGGAAAAAACACTGCAAAACCGGATGAACCCCTGCAAAACCCTAGAACAAACCCCTAAACCCTAAAAACCCTAAACCCTTAGAGACCTCTGTAGGGCCTTTGTAAAGGTCCCAGTGGCGGAGAACCCGACAACTTCCAAACCCAGGTGGCGCGCTGCGATGCACTCGTTCCTGGGAAGCCGACCACTCCAAAGGATGTGGGAGTTCCGGAAATTTGGGGTACCTTATTTTGGGGTCGTTATAATAGGGATCCCAATGCCTGGGGTACTATATTAGGGTTATTAGGGTCCCCTGTTTTCGGAAACTGCCATGTGCTGTCAAGCTTTGCAGAGGTCCCATGACACGAAGAAGGAATAGCGAGAATAGAGCGAAAGTTGAATAGTGTTGCTTTGTTTGGTTCTGCAGCGTAAGACCTGCTGTTGAGAACCACACGCCAAACCTCATGCTTGATGTGGACTGGAAGAATGCGAGTTTCAGAGAGTGTAGTATTTTAATGACGCCTCTGTACCGCAGAATTGCAGAAATCTAGAGTCCACAGCCGAAGCCCTAAACCCGAAGCCCTTCTAAAACCCTTAACCTTAAACCAGATAGTGTTGAATCCTGGCTTCACTGTGCTCATCCCGACCGCGTCAACGCCCAGCAGTCGCAGCATTCGGATCTCCGCGGGAGTCTCGTAGTTTGGGCCCAGCATGGCGGCATAGACACCGGAGCGCACCTGTTCAGGTGCCGGAGTGTGACACAAGGATCCTGACCCAACAACAGTAATGCATAAGATGCTGAATTAGAATGTCTACCAACCGCCAATCCTGAAGGACCAAATGACCCTTAAAAGTAGGGCCCCTATACCCATATACTATGAATCTGTATATGGTGTATGAACCTTAAACCCTTTCAGGGTTCATTTCGTCCTTAAGGATGACATCATCACCAGCTCACAAGAACAAAAGAGCATGCGACCTCCGGGTCAATCTCCTGCACGATCTTCCTCAGGCGCGGCGAGTAAGCATCGTTCATGGGAAAGAAGCGTGGCAGCTTCGGATCGTTGCGTCCGACACAGGGATTTTGAAATAGAAGGTTTATATGGTCGGCAATCAGCATGAGATCGCCAGTCGGAAAGTTCTTGTTGATGCCACCGGCCGCATTGGTCAGGAGAAGTGTCCTGATGCCCCAGTTGTTCATCACGCGAACCTAGTTCATGGTTGGGATATATAGTAAGAAAAAATCTTATTTGTATTTCTTATTGGGTTTAAGTACCCATTAAGATGTGAAATGTTGCCCAACAATGGCACAGGTACGGGGAAGGCAGATTCGTGGGCAGTGTAGCCTTCGTAGAGGTGGACCTTGGCGAGGAAGAGACTGAAACTTAGGGTTTAGGGTTCAGGTTTAGGGGTTCAGGGTTTAGGGGTTTAGGGTTTGAGGGTTGAGGGGTTTGGAGTTTTAGGGTTGAGGATTTAGGGGTCTAGGGGTTTAGGGCTTTAGGGTTTTAGGGTGTAGGGGTTTAGGGGTTTAGGGGTTTAGGGCTTAGGGTCTTAGGGTTTAGGGAACGTGGTTGCCACCTCTAAACCCTAAACTTGTCACTGCCCACACATCACCCTGCAGTCGCGATCCAAAACCTTGTGTGTCACATCTGAGCTCTAGTGATTATGGTGACGGGCGTCAGGATACAGCATCAACTACGATGCTGCTGCCCATGAGTGAGGAGGATGATATTGATGATGAGGATGGGTGATGAGGGTGGTAATGAGGATGATAGTGATGACAGTGACGGTGATGATGAGAAGTGTGACGGCGATGAGGCGGAGGAGGATGAGGAGGACGCCGATGAGGACGACGGTGAGGATGTGGAAAATGATGGTTATGTCATGTCGATGATGGAGAATGTCTTGAAATTCAAGCTTGGAGGGCTTGGGGTTAAGGCTAAGGTCTTTATGCCAACTGCAGTTCCAAGCGACACGCCCCTGCATCATGAGCACAGGCACCCCATGGAGATAACCGTGCACAAAGCGACCGGCGTGGCCTGGCTGGGTCTATCGCTGAGGGTCCATGTACCCCGCCCGAGCGATTTTAGGCTGTTGAATTTAAGGTGCCCTGCCTATAGGGTATCCCTATCCGCGGTTTGGATCAACCACAACTTGGGCCGCACCTAGAATAGGCTTTGGGGGGTATATGCTATATGTATGCTAGGAACCATAAGGTTTAGGGGGGAAGGGTCATGCAGGCACCTTCCTTTCCGCTTTCTGGGGCGCGGAACGTTTGATGGACATGGCTGAATGTGGGGCCTCAAGAATTAGAGCAATGCTTTCAGGTACATTAGAGTGACGAGTGCACTAAGAACTGATCATTTGCGATCCCGAGTAATGAGTTAGGAATTAGGAACCATAGCAGGTCCTACGACTGATCATCAGACCCGTGTAGTACTCAGCAGAAAACGCGATAAGTCCGTCTCCGTGCAGGAACAGTCTTTGCAGCCCTTCGGGCTCAGGACTACGCACGAGCACCCTTGCCTTAAGTTGTACGGAAAATCTCCCCAAAGTAAGCACAATGATGGCCTCACACCTACAAGGGCTATTATCCTGCATACTTTTGGAGGCTTCTAAGAAATCGTTGTCAGTGTGACGGCTGCGGCTTGCAAGGCCAATGCTGAAGATGGAATTTCGGACAGGCATGTGTACTGTCTTGGTTTAGGGTTTAGGGCCTAGGGTTCAGGATCTAGGGTTTAGGGTTTTACTGTCTTGGGGGCCCTCGCAGCTGGAATACGGTATTGGGTTCTCTGGCAGAGTGTGATTATGTAGACATATACAGAACATGTGGTGTCTTCACTAAGTGCTCCGACCACTACATTAATGTAGGGGCCTTAATAAGTAGAACAGGGTTCTGGGGCCCAATATACTGTAATGACAGTAAGGAACCCCCAATAGAGTATCGGTAACTATTGAGGCCCCTGCATGACAGTTATTCAATAAGTTCCAGAAGCTCCAATGCATTCCTAGGCCTAAACCTGTGCCTTCAACGGTGGAAACCGGAAAGGCAGGGATGTCGCTGTAGTTCAAGTAGATGGGATCTTCCAGGTCATTCCTGGGCTCAGCTTGCATTGCAGCAAGAGACTCACCACGACACAGCATTTTCAGTACAAGTACTATTTTGGGGGTTCCATAACATAATTATTGTATATTATTGTATACTGGGCCCCTTAAAACCCTATTCTAATCATTAAGATAGGCACAGCAGTATGAAGGAGCAATATAGGGGCCGAAATAGCTCAGATGCGGCTTTGGGGTCCAGTATAATGGAACCATGCAGGGACTAGAAGGCCTATAAGGGACGACGACGACTACTTTTGCTGCTGCAACTACTGCTACTACTGCTACTACTACTACTACTACTACTACTACTACTACTACTACTACTACTACTACTACGACTACGACTACGACTACGACTACGACCAACAACAGCAACTGCTGTCATTCCGGCCCGCATATTACGTGATGTTACGAACCTTGCAGGTCCTTGATGGCAAAGCAGGCCCTGTGCTTGGGGTCTGGGGCTGCAGGCGGCTCATCTGCATGCTAGACGCCTACTTGGAGGTTCATGGGTAGTTATAAGTAGGGTTTTCTTAAGGGTTCTATAAAGTTGAGGGTTTAGGGGTTTATAGGGATTTAGGGCAGTTATCAGTAGGGTTATAAGTCCCCTAAATATGGGTTATAAGTATAGTTACCCTGCTTATAACCCTACTCATAACTACCCATGAACCTTCAAGTACGGCCGCAGGAGCAGGTGAGGAGCAGGTTTAGGGTTTAGTGGGCTTGACACTAAGCCGTGAACCCTCACCCGGGTTATGTCGTGCCGCATTCGGTTCAATCATTTGGACATGCCCGGATCGCGTTCTTGACTCCACGAGATGGAGAGATCGGTTTGCTGCAGAAGCTTCATGTCCGGTGCACTGTCAAGAATAATACGCACGAGTACAGCCAGGTCCACTTCTGTTTGCACTCCAAACCCAGACACTCCAATATCCCTTAATTAAGGAATATTCCTTAAATTATGGTAGGATCCCTTACATGATTTAAGGTATATTCCTTAATTAAGGGATATTCCTTAAATTATGGTAGGATCCCTTACATGATTTAAGGTATATTCCTTAATTAAGGGATATTCCTTAAATTATGGTAGGATCCCTTACATGATTTAAGGTATATTCCTTAATTAAGGGATATTCCTTAAATTATGGTAGGATCCCTTACATGATTTAAGGTATATTCCTTAATTAAGGGATATTCCTTAAATTATGGTAGGATCCCTTACATGATTTAAGGTATATTCCTTAATTAAGGGATATTCCTTAAATTATGGTAGGATCCCTTACATGATTTAAGGTATATTCCTTAATTAAGGGATATTCCTTAAATTATGGTAGGATCCCTTACATGATTTAAGGTATATTCCTTAATTAAGGGATATCGGAGTCCCCTAAACCCTAAATCCTGTAGATCCCTTGTAGATCCCTTAAAGGAACACTAGGTATTCCTTAATTAAGGGATATTGGAGTCTCTGGGAACCCTATGCACCCGAATGCCCCAGACCCTGGGAATCCTCGGCCTTGAATCCCTGTGGACCCGGACACCCTCACCCACACTCCATATACTCTAAACCACAACCTTAAGCTAAGCCCTAAACAAGCCTTAAACCCTAAACGCCAAAATTCCCTACACCCTACACCCGCAAAACCTTAAACTCCGAGCCGTGCTTCGCGAAGTCGCCGAGTCCACTCCCCAGAACAATTCCGATTGTCGTGGGAGGCTCCCGGGCCAAGAACTCCTCGGCGGATTGTTTTTTTTTCTTTTTCTGACCTTTGGTTAGTGCAGTAGGGAATGGAGGAATGGGGTACAACTATAACTACTATTACTACCATTCTTCCATTCCCTACTACAACCAAAGGTAAGTTTTTCAGCACCTTCTTCCGCCTACCGAAGCAGCGAAAAGTGCCTAGAACCTCGGCGGTTTAGAGCTTAGGGTTAGAGTTAGGGTTTAGATTTTAGACTTCAAGGTTTAGGGTTTAGGTTCGAAGCTCTGGGTGCCCCAATGGAAGGTATTTGTTGTTTGTTTTCTTGGACGGGGGCTTATGGTATCTGATAATTAAACAGAGGAGTACAACTATTGCTGATTACTTCGACCGCTGTTTTAGTGCTTAGGGTTTGGAGGGCTTGGTGGTTCAGAGTTGTAACCAGGATGCCATAGTAAATTATCAAATCGTTTCGGGGGGCCCTTACACTAGGTACGTACATACGTGTGTGTGCGTGTTGTGTAGACATGTCTGTGTGTATATATGTATGTATGTATGTATGTATGTATATATATATATATATATATATATATACATATTATATGTATATACACACCCACAGGCTCCGTACATAGTCGTTCCTTCTTGGGAATGCCTTATAGAACTGTAAATATGAGGCCCGAAAAGGAACTACTATGGAGCCTCTATGTATGTATGGATGGAGCACAGGTGGTTCAGGGTCTAGGATTCTGGGAAGCTGTTCTGCTGGGAGGGCCCCTGCAGCAAACATCACAAGAAGATGAGGCCTAAGCCCAAGGGCCCTGCACTCCGCGACAGCGAAACATACCGCAAACCCCAAGGCTTGGAATCCTGGGCCTTTGCCACCCTCTCAGGCTCCATGTACCCATATAGTATATACTTAGGCCTTGTAAAGTACCTCTACAGGAACCCCTTTGAAGCTTGGGTATCTACTACTAAAGGTACATGGAGCTTTTAGGACCAAGAATCTGGCCACCGGTAGAAGTTCGCTGAGTCTGCAGCTGCTGGAAGATCGGCAGGCGGCATGTGGACGACCGTCGGGTTTGCAAGGGGAATGGGCGATGGTCAGAAACAACCAATAATCATGAGGACAACAACAGCAACGACAATCATCATAGAACATGCAGCGATAAACATCGCACCAGAAAATGAAGTATTTGTCCATGCTAGCGCACAGACATTAGACACTAGTCACCGGTAGAGCTGAGGCTGTGAATAAATTCTGCCAGTAGCCGTGCAACAACAGGTAACAACCGGGAGCTCTCACCAGCTCGCGGGCAGAAGCACTATGTCGTGTGCTTTAAAGTTCTGCCACAATGATTCGAAGTTGAGCTGCGCCTGGACAGTGTCGATGTGAAGTCTTGATCTTGCTACTGTACTCTTGAAGCTAAGGCTCTAGAGCTCATGGGCTTGCGAAACTCATTGTCGCCAAGACAGCGGTTCTTTGCCGTTCACAGCACGCGGTTTTCTTGAGGCTTCGCGCCAGGGCAGATGTCGAGGAGATCCCGATGCTTCCCACTAGCGAGTGCGCTACCCAGAGACTCCAATATCCCTTAATTAAGGAATATACCTTAAATCATATAAGGGATCCTACCATATTTTAAGGAATATTCCTTAATTATAAGGGATATTGGAGTCTCTGGGTAGGGTTAAGGATTCAGGGCTCAGCGTTAGCATTTAGGGTTTCGGACTGACTGGGTTTTAGCTAGGTCTTGATTTGTAGTGAATGACCTGTAGTAGTGGGCATACCCCCGCTTGGGAAAATCTGTTTCGGACTGCGAGGGAATGTATTTCAGATCCATACAGATAACACCGAACTCCAAACTTTAGGGCCCTAAACCAAACCCTGAACTTGAGGGCCATAAACCCTCAGCTCTACTCTCAAGCCTTCACATAAGCACTTGATACCCTGCCGTGCTCAAGAACCCAAACTGACCAATAATGCACTGAGCAAGCGCTGGCAAAAGCAACTGCAAAAAGCCCGCATGCATTTAGGGTTTAGGGTTCAGTGTGTCCTGAGAACCCTTCTACTCACTCTCTGCCGACACGTGCACATTCTATACAACCCCTCAAGCGCAAACGAGGGTTAGATTGCAGGTGTTTCGTGTCTTCCAAAGCGTGCTGCTCCAACAAGAAAGCAAAACAAGCAGTGGCACAAATGTCATGGCCGTAACGAAACCAAGTAACAGCAATTGCCCCCAACCCCTAGACTAGTAATGCGGGGGCCTTAATCATTACACTGGGATTTGGGAGTGCTTTATAGTATCCATATAATAAGGAACCCGAAGAACCCCTGAGAGATATTCTTGACTGAGGCTTCTGATTGTATATTATAGAAGAATGCAACTCCCCGACTCTCCCCGATACCCTAAACCCTAAACCCTAACCTAACACCTTCCTGAACCCCCAAAAGTAGGCAAAACAAATTGCCCCAACCTCATAGAGGGCGACTATTCTACATACTTTGGGGGTGCAGGTAGTCCTTAAACCCTAAATCCCATAGAGGCCCTTTAAGGGGATTATTCTACATACTTTTGGGGTCCAGGTTGAATCCCAAATGTTAAACCCTAAACCCTAAACCGATGATCCGATGCCTGCTGACCAGAGCCAGGAGCCCAGAGGGCCCCTCCAGAGTGGAAGCCATGGAAGGTGCCTCGGGCATGTAGGGGTTTAGTGTTTAGGGGTTTAGGGGTTTAGGGGTTTAGGGTTTTAGGGGTTTAGGGTTTGGGGGTTAAGGGGTTTAGGGTTTAGGGGTTTTGAGTTTAGGGTTTAGGGGTTTAGGGGTTTTGAGTTTAGGGTTTAGGGTTTATGCAGTCTGAGAACCGCGTCCAAACTCAGAGCCCCCGACTCAATCTTTTCAACTACTCGACGCAGAGAGCTCCATGGGATGACACTCGATTCGGTCGTCTCGGCTTCCGCTGGGCGTCCAGCCATCACTTTGGCGGTCCGCTGATAGAACATCTCAGCCGAATGGCGCTGTTCCAATCATTCCTCGACTGAAAGAGCCGAGACCTCCTTCCCATGGCAGCAAAAGGGGCTGCCAGCCGCTGCTTATAGATCGATGCCACCTTCCGAGGAAGTGAGCCCTTGTCACCAGAAGTGTAGTGCTCATGCGTCAGCTTCACGCACTTCTCGTCCTCGGGGGTTTAGGGTTTAGGGCTTAGGGGTTCTTAGTAGGGAATGGGGTAATGGATTATGGAGACTGGTATTGGGGGATTATATGAGGACTACTATAGGGGCCCATTCCCCACTAAGCCTTTTCAGGGAGAAAGTGAACCCAGGTCGTCTGCTCCGTGCGGACATTGAGTCGGGTCCTGCAAATCAGGCACTGGTTGGGAGTTCATCAAGACATGTTTGTAAGCATGTGTCCACTCTTCCCGGATGGCTCAGGGTTACAGTCGCGATGTCTTGATGTCTTCGGGAACAAGATGCTTGGAGTGTTAAGATATGAGGTGATCCCTGAACCCACTAAACCCTAGAAGCCCTAACCCTTAACCGCCGAACCCCCAAACCCCTGAGGTCGTTCGCTCTAACCTAAACCCTACACCCTAAATTTCGTGTTTGTGAGACATATATGGGTAGATCTCTGAAGAAGGGTCCTGTTTTGGGCCCCTCAAAACAGTACGGCACCCGTTTGCAAAGGACCCTAAAAGGAACCCTAGTTGAGAGAACTACCCATCTGCCTTCCCCGAAACCCTAAACCCCTAAGCCCTAAACCCCTAAAACCCCTAAAACCCCTAAAACCCTAAACCCTAAAACCTTAAACCCTAAAAACCCTAAATCCTAAACCCTTGTAAAACCCTAAAACCCTAAACCCCAGAACTCTAAACCCTCAAACCCTAAACCCAGATGCTTGGGGCCCTACAAGGCGTGGGCTGCTTCGCGTCACGCCTGCAGCCGCTCGTGACGGACTCCCACAGCACAAAGCCCTCCTCAAACCCGCAGTGCTTTTGGGGTTTAAGGGCTTAGGGGTCTAGGGTTTAAGTGTTTAGGGTTTAATTAAGGGTTTAGGGGTTCAGGGCTTAAGGGTTTAAGGGTTTAGGGTTTAAGGGTTGAAGGTTTAGGGGTCGGGCATAGGGTTTAGTACCGCCTAGCGAAGAATCTGAAACACCAAGCTGGAAAACCCCCTCCCTGCGCCTCCAAGTATACAAATAGTACCTACTTTGGGGCCTAAAGTCTATAAATAATACCTACTTCGGGCTATTTGGAGCCCCAGGGCCTCTTTATCATGCCATAGCTTGAGGCACAATCCTTTTTTCCGAAAGGTGTTGGACTTCTTCGGTAACGCCTAAATTAAAAGAAACGTCCTACTCCCCAACACAGAGGTCAGCCTTGTGTGGGCGCAGGCTCTGCGATCCGGGCATCGCAGGGCCTCAGGGGCAAAACCCACCGGGCTTTGAGCTTCAAGGCTGTTGGGCTTGGCTAGCCCTAAGGGTCCAAGTACCTAGTTATCATGTACTCTGCAAAATCCTAACCTATATAACTACTATCCTGAAACCGAATACCGAATTGTTCGGTCTTTTGGACCCTGGGGGTAATGGCTTTGCTTTCAGGTACGGTTTGGGATGTGGCGTTTGGGTTAAGGCTTGAGGCTTCAGAGCTTTAGGGTTTGAGGGTGTAGAGTAGCTAGTAGTGGGCTTGGATATGTCGGATATGTAAAGACGGCCCAGGAGGAGACACAAAAGCCTGAACACGCTTCTTTCCCAAGCCTCGTTTAGATCCCGCAAGAGCGATGACTTGTCCCGAGCAGAAAGGAAACATCGTAAACAAAGGGTCATCGACACCAGCCATTGAGCCGTTTATATGCTGATGACGATTACTCGAACTACAACTAGCAGATGGTGTCCCTGTTAGTCTCAGCCTGCACGCATGTTTATTCTCAGTCGCTGCGCTCACGGCCGCTGTCACTCATGTTACTGCCATGTGTGAGTTTCACCACTATTAACAATGACGAAGACAACGCCGAAGCTAAGGATACCACTATTGAATAACTGATGAAGACGGTGATCCTAAGACACCCTACTACCAGTTGCTAGCATGACAGCGAACAGTCAGCGCACCAGAAGACTTCCCCACCAGCACTGTCTTCTCCCTAACTACCGTGCACCCAAACACCCAAAATCCTTCTCCGGATCCTCGTAGGAACCTGTAAAATTAGACTAGGGTTTTGGTGCATATTCTGATTATACCATAACCATAACAAGGAACTCCTAAAATAGTACTTAAAGGATAATGGGACTTAGTAACTGGGGCTATAAATAATGTAACTAATAAGCACTTATAACACCACTAAAGGTACTTATAACCTGACTTACTTCCATGATCCTCCAAGTATTGGTAGTTGTTTCTGTATGGGGATCCTCAGTGACCTTGTCGAACAAGTCCGGCCTGCTCCTGGGTCGGGGCGGCGGCGAGGTCCTGTGCAGATGCTGCGGTGTCTAAAGCTCGGGGTTTAGGGTTTAGGTTTTGGGTTTGGGGCAGTTTAGGGTTTTTTAAATGCAATGCCCTTTTCCTGGGTGTAGGGTTTAGGTTTTAGGGATTAGGTTTTAGGGCCTGTGCAGATGCTGCGGTGTATAATAACTAATACAGCCTTTTTTGAGCACTTTCGCCGCATGCCCTATCCGTCTGAGCCCACGGAAGGCGCATAAAGCTTTGGGTTTAGGGTTGTTTTGTTTTGAAGTCCCTTTTCGACAGGCAGTGGTACCGCTTGAAGAACAACTATGAAGAGGAGACAATTCATCAAGGTTTAGGGTTTAGGGTTAGGGGCATCAAACTGATTCGATTCTGATTGGCTTTCGCCTGCTGCAAACGTTGCAGATACCGCTGTGCTACAGACGACTAACGATAGGCTCGACCAGTTCGCACTGTTTTGTGGTGGATAGCCTGCACGCAGGTATGAACAGAACTCAGACTAACAAGACAGTAAGGAAAAGGGTCTTGCAACAAACGGGACATCCCTAAGTCCCTGCCTGCGGCCCAAAAGAAACAACATCTCAGCCCCTGAAAACCCACAACCACCAAAGCCC